TGGATAAATCACCCCAAGGGAGAGTTCGGGTGGTCTCTTGGACAAATCACCCATTCAGTTTCCGTAATCGGGTCTGCAAGCAAGGGAAGGCGCAAGGGGAAGCAGGGCTTTCGCACCGTGGACCGACCCGTGACGGGATCCTACGTGCGGGACCATAACAAGGGCATGTTGGATTGGGTTTAGAACTCGCATTTAATTTCTTATTATTTCCTGTTATATATAAGTAATAAACAAGTAAAATAATATGAATAAATATCAAAATTTCTAATTAATTGATTAAAATATATAAAAAATACATAAACTATCAAGTATTTTTAAAATTATTATTAAATTCAACACTTAATACATAAATCCATATGATCCTACGACCTATACCCATACAAGTTGCCCTGTCAGAGTGGATAGGGGTGGGACCCGCTGAACAGGATAAAAATTTCGTTCCTATTTGGCATTCATATTAGTCAGCTAGGCGTGGTCATGTTAGGACCTAGCAATAACAGCTAAGATGAATAGTCAATGTCAGTCTGACATATATGCGAATTGTAATTAATTGGGATTAGCTGAATGCAATGGCTGTAATGGCTGTAATGGTGGTCCGTGGAACCAATGATAACGCCCCATGCCAGTCCCAGTAAGGCGTTGAATAGTTGTGGGCCCTATATATCTTATGACTGGTGTGAGGCGTTATTATTGGTTCCATTAGTGGCTGAACAGATATTACATTCAGCTGTAATCCTATCTCAATTGCGAAGGCCTCGGGCTTGAGCGTTTTACCTTATAAGTGGATAGATTTCCAGACTGATAGATGTAGATTTTATAACGGGACTAGGATCAGAGTTCAGAAAAAAAAAAGCTTGATCTAAGAGCGGGCTCTAGCTTATTATTTATTAAGCTCAACAAACAAATACATGGAGGACCTAATGAAAGGTTATTCCAGTCTTTGTTCTGCCATATTTAGTAACTAAGGTGCCGTGTGGCAAGACTTTTTTTTAAAGATCTTTTGAAAAATCTGATATCCAAAAGACAGTGAGCATTTATATAAAGATCTTGGCAATCCATACATCGTTTGGTTGGTGGTGCATTTTTTTACATGAAGACAAGACTTGAGAAGGCCAAAATAGGCAAAAAGCTTAATTTCTAACTTCCCAAAATAATCTTGAATTGAATTTCTCGCATCTTTTCAAGGTGCGGTCTTTTGGTGGAAGGATCTTCCTCCAATCTAACGGAGGAAGATGCAAATGCAAGCTGCCGGGCTTCTAAAAAACCGACAGCCCATGCATAAAGATCACCAAAACAGAGCCTAAGTAGATCTCTATGTATAAACTCTCAAGTATTAAATGGACCTGATCCAATCCGGTCCAATCCGGATTGGACCTGTAGATAGGGGTATCAATTGGATTGGATTTGGTCCAATCCGGTCCAGTCCAATGTTAGTCCATTATAAATGGACCTGATCCAATCCAGCCAATGAATATTTTGGACCATTTTGGACCGGTACAGAAACTGTTCAATCTGTTCAAATTCATGGTAATTTAAATTGGTTTCAACTCATATCTGATCCATTGACAACTATGTTCTTATCTTCTATCAATGGACCAGATATTGGCTCAATCCAATATAAATTCATCATGGATGGACCAGGTCCATTGAATGGAGTCCAACCTAAAACCGGTCCATTGACACCCCTAGCTGTAGACTCAGTCATGTCCGGGTAAGGCTTTATCCTAGATATGAAGGCCCAGCCCAGCCCAGAGTCACATCTGGGCTTGGAACTTTTGTGTATTACTAGCTTTCGTTATAGATGAGTCGCACATCCAACGTCAAGATAGAAGCAACTGGATCAAAGTCCAGATTTGTGCAAAACTTTTACATGGGCTCTTCAGTTGTTGGTGCAAGGCCAATCTTTTCAGAAGAATTTAATAAAATTCTGAGTCCCGTCGATTCTGTAAGACTTGAATTTGGGCCTCAAATAGTATTCGTTTGATCCGGTTACGGGTGATCTGAATTTTATCCCATTTTTAATTTGATCGGATATGGATCGACCCCCATCCTATTATAATCGGTTATAGTTGATTTTATAATATATTGGTCATTTTTAATTTAACTTATAAACACTGTTCACCATCCCATTGTGAGCGCGCTGAGCTATGCATCTATATAAATATAATGTAATGACTGTTACTTGGTAAAAAGAGTTGGAGACAGGGTGAAAGACAATTGGGTGGACAAATTGATCGATGAATACTCTATTTGGGAAGAGTAGTACAAATACAAATACAAATACGTTCATTGCAAAACATCATAAGGTCTATATCTGTATTTCTAAATCATGTATTTACAGTGAACATATTTTTTATAGTTTCTCTTTCCAAACAGAGCTTTATAACTAATTTAGAACAAAACAAATAATCCCACAGCCAGCCTGCAAAGCAGCTATCAACTAATGATCAATAATCCGTTCCTCTCCACACTCCACAGGGCGCTCCTTGCCTCATACATAAATCTATATGAATTCTATACATCATGGGTAACAGTGTTGAAGGTATGGCTGTATGAATCATGGTTTTCGAACCACCATTTGGTTTTCGAACCACCATTGATTCGGACAGTTAGACTGTTCATCGCAGAAACTGTTTCGACAATTGGTTCCATTTTGCCCCAAATTTAATCTTTAGACAAAAACCCTTGAAAAAGTCAATATTCCGTCGATCCATTCAACGGTTTTTAATTATTTTTTATTTTTAATTATTTTTTTATTTATTATCAGAACGAACTATTCGTTCAAACCAGACGATCAAGACCATCAGCCCAAAAACCGGTGGTCATTTTTTGAAACAATGGTATGAACTATATTATATGAAGAAATTTCATTATAAATCAAATTCTTGGTGGGGATTTAGCTAGATTTCAAATTTGAGTGTTTGTCTATTAATTTAATTTTCAACCCTTCCTCCTCATCCAATCAGCACAAAACGGCAAAAGCTTTTGGATCTAATCTCTAAGTCTAAAACTTGCAACGTCATTTGGTTGACTTGCTGACTCTTCAACATTATAAGACACATCAATTATACAAAGAAAAAGGAAATAATACAAACAAAATTGTGAAACGTTCAAATAACCAAAAATGTTATTGAGAGACCAGGCATCTATGGATTCCTGAAACGTTCAAATAACCAAAAACGTTCAATAACATACACGATTTAGGGTTTCAACAATCGAACTCAGGCATCTATGGATTCCTGAAAAAACTTGCATGCATTAATCAAAACCTTTTTCTTCTTTTTAATTAATATAAATGACGACGTATACCCATTTATATATATATATATAAAATTTCCAAATTAATTAACAGAAAACTAAATGGAAATCTAGATAGATTCAAAAACATTTCAAGTAGGAAGGGAAGCAAGGTGACTTGCTCCATGCCTTGAGATGGAACCCTAAAATCTCTTTGGCCTTATCTTTCGTCCTCACACTGCACTCCACCTGCACCACCAACATGCATAGCTTGGCAATAGCACCCACCTCCATCAACTCCTTACCAACCACACCACCCTTATTACAAAACCTACACACCAACAATAACACCGCCACAGCTTTATCATTTGCTACATGTGAAACCCTCAAGATCTTCGTCGACACCGCGGCCACGCTTGCCGGGTGAGCCAAGAAAGCCGACCGTCCCTCCGCCCTCCCACACAGCTGTTCTACTACTCCCAACATGATCTCGCAGCTTCGCTTCTCGTTGCTCTCCGCAAGCAATTCTACGAGCACGCCCACTATTCCAGCCTCCACGGCCTTGACCCTGTTCCTCACAAATGGCATCACTTCCATCAGGATCGATAGCACTGCCTTGCTCGCCCGGTTCGAGATCTGGTCCTTGAGTATTTCGACGATTCCTTCAAAGAGTCCTGTCTTCAGTTTAGCCTTGTAGATGTCATCTACCACTCTAAAGATGTTTTTGAGGAGAAGGGCAGCCTGACTTCTTGCTCTGTAACTCCCTTGTTGTATCATCAAGGAAAGAGATCCTATCAGTTGGCCATTCCTGTCCTGAGATATCTTCTTCAACGTCTCCGTAGTTGGCTTAAGGAGGTATAAAACAGTTACTGCTTCCTCAACGACGACCGATTTGTTCTCACCTAATTCTGAAATGGTTCTTCCTTCTGGCTGTGGGTTGGTTTGCGTGACGATGAGAGATGCGACCACTAAAGCGAAACCGGCATCTTCCATGGACACCCTGTTGCCATCGCTCCCTTGAATTAGTGATTTGATCTTTCCAAGAGATTTTATCTGCAATTCAGGATTTCTTACCTCTTCGACGAGTTGGCTGAGAAGGGTTGAAATATCAGGTGCAAGGTTCGGAGACTCAGTCGTGGTAGAGGACACTGAGTACTGATTCTTGTGGCACCATGATTCGATCAAGCGGAGGAGGGTAGAGTTTGGGGTAAGGCTTTGATCGGTGAGGAGCTGCTTGGTGACGGGACAGGTATTGTTGTTGTAATAGAAGAACCATCTGTGGATGCTCTCTCTATCATACGTCATACCTGTGGAGATGGTGACCGGATCTTTCATGAGCTGCAAAGAGATTGGGCAGACGAAGAAGGAAGGTACTTCAGGACCCTCCATATATGTACGTATATCAGGAATGGGAAGAAGTACCCGAGATAAGAGTTCGCCTGCGCTTTAACTATAGAAGCAAACTGCAAAGCTATAAGAACTAAGAACAAAATGAGACGAGACGTGCATTGTGGAGATACCAGAGATATCCAGAGTCAAAAAGAGAGATATTGTATGTGGAGAGTCATAAGGAGGAGTAAGAAGGATGAAATTTATTAAAAGGAGGGGGGGTGGAGGGATGGGCATTGGCCACGATTGACTGGACACCCTATTCAATCAGAATCACGTAAGACACAAATCACATCGCTCTCGTGCAGGAAATGTTGACTCTAATGATTTTTGTCTACTTCAATTTTCTACATATATCAACAATTTATACAAGGAAGAAGGTTTCTCGGTCAGTTTTGAATTTTTGAATTTCATATACTGAGCTGAGCTTACCCGTTTGTAGTTTCTGACCAATGGATTGTATCGATCCATGACTGTGTTTTCGTCCTTTCAATATGAAAAATACATAATAAAATATATATTCGGAAAAGGAAAAAGGTCTCCCACTCCCAGCCGGCCGGGTTTAGCAAGAGACGTTGCTATACGACCCACCATTTCTAGTTTTCTACCATGTAGATGTATGGGGTGTGTGATAAACATCACAAAAACGAAAACAAAAAATGTAATTTCTAGTGAAGATATAAGTATAGTGGAAATGAACGTGGCAATGAACGTGTTGACCCTAATGTTCATTTAAATCAATTTAATCAAAAAAAAATAAAAATACCATTTTTACCCTTAATAAGACAAGGGAAACCACTCTATTGGCAATATTTGGTCAATTTTGTTTTCTGTTTAAAAAAGTGTTAAGGGTATTTTTGAAATAAAAAATCATGGGCATAATGGCAAAGCAAACACTCCTTAATGAAAGGTTGATTAAATAATTAAGTTATAAAATATATGGGATGTTTTAGTAAAATGAAAACTATAAGGTATGTTTAAGTAAATATATAAAATTATAAGGTGTGTTCTAGTAAATGATCCTAATTGAAACACATAAGAGTATACAATTGTTTTATATTTACAACTTTTTAAATAATTAATAATTATTCATATTATATATACTATTTTTAATAAATTTCTTATGATACAAAAATAACAATAATTAATTTCAGATAGTTTTATTCATCAAACTGATGAAACCGACCAACCAGATCAACTCAACCCGAGTTGATCAATTTTCTAGTATTTTAGGTCGGCTTTGGTTCAAAAATTTCCCAATTCGACCAAGTTCAATCAATTTCACTTTGACCATTTGTAAATCGACCAAAATCAAATGACCTAACCATGGATATATATTAACATTTTATATTTTAAATATAATTTTTAATATGGAGAAGTGGGAAATTTCCCACATTTCTTAGTCTAAAATATTTTATATCATAAATCTAATTTTTAAATTTATTTTTTAATAACTGCATTGTAACCAAATAAAAAAATCTTTGGAACCAATTAACCAAATAAAAAAATCAACCCAAACCGATACAACTTGAGTGGGTCACAAAAGGTCAGTCGGTTTCAGCTAACGAACTCCCCAACCTAATCAAGTCAATTTGCTTGGCCAAATAACCTACGACCGAACCGAACCAATTTATGAACACTCATAATTTCAGCTAAATTAATAGTCTCATCTCTCATAAATAACAATAGTTTAATCTCCAAAAATTATTGAAAATTTATAGCAAAAATACACAATTATTGAAAATATATTGATAATAAAAAAATACAATAATTACAAAAATACAATAAATACTAAAAATATATTAACTTAATTAGTCAATAAATAGTATAATCTCAAATAATAGTTTAATCTCTAATAAATATTAACCAGTAAGTTATAAAAAAATACAATAAATTAAATTTAAAAATTTTAATAATAGTAGCTTAATCTCCAACAATTATTGAAAGCTTTTTGTTAAATAACAAAACAAAATAAATTTATACATAATCAATGAAAATGCATTTATCACAAAAAACAATAAATAATTACTGATATACAATAAATATTAATTTTAGTATATATAATTATATAATAAATACAAATTAAGAGTTTAAAATTATTATTAATAAATATTAAATTTTTTGAAAGTAATTTTCTCGTATTATTACTTGATACAAGTGAAATTAGTTATTTTCAATATTATGTAAAAAATATTAAATTATTATTAATTTCAATGTTATATTATAATTATTTTTCTACTTTTCAGATTTTTTTTTAAATTTATTACATAATTTCTTTTTTTAACTATTTAAAATCTAGTTATGTTAAATATTTTTCTATTTAAAATATTTAGTTATTTAAATATTTAAGTAATATGTAAAATACATAAAATTTAAAATATTAATTATTTATTGAAATTAATTATCCATAAAATCATAATTTATACTATTATTACATAATTTCATTATTAATTTTGTATTATATTAAATTATTATTAATTTCAATATTATGTTATAACTAATTTTCTACTTTGAAAAAAAATTAAATTTATTACATAATTTCGTTATTTTAACTATTTAAAATCTAGTTATGATAGATATCTAGTTATTTAAATTTTTTAAATTTATTACATAATTTCGTTATTTTAACTATTTAAAATCTAGTTATGATAAATGTTTAGTTATTTTAATATTTAAATAATCTTTAAAATATTTTAAACTTTATATTATTTGAATTTTATTTATTTAAATCTATTACATATTATTAAATATTTGAAAAACATTTAAATTGATAATCTGTAAAAACATAATTTAAATTGTTAGTACATAATTTCATGATATATTTTGTAAAAATATAAAATTATTTTGTTTTTTTAATAAATATTTTTAAGTTATTATATAATTTTCTTGGAATATTTAAATAATTCTTAAATTCTTTTAGTCCAAACTTTCTTTAGGTAGATATAGTTAAAAAGTAGGGGAGAAGATAGATAGGAATTAGAGATAATTTAAGAGAGAAACTCTCTACTAATCTAGAGATGCTTTTGGAAATAAATAGGAATTAGAGATAATTTTGGAGAAAGTGGGGGAGGTAGTTTAGGAGAAATTTTAGGAGAATAGATTATTTAGGTTATTGAGAAAGTGAATCGCATTGGTTGTTTCAAAAATGACATGGAATTAAAAAATAAAAATTCAAAAAAAGAAGAAAATTTCTAGAGTTCCTTGTTTTAATATATATGGATTTGTACTATTTATGGCTTCAACCATCCTTTTAAATTCCATTTAGAAATAAATTAATTTTAATATTGATTCTTATTAGTTTAAAGTCAATCTAAAATTAACTTAAATATAATAAAAATAATTCAAATTTACTTAACAATATAAACAAAAAAAATGATTATCATTATAATTAATAATAAAAATAATTAAATTACTTTTGGATTAATATAAAAAGTTAATTTTTGTTAATTTAATTAACAAAGCCTATGTATTGCACAAGACTCCAACCAATATATATGTTAAAGGAAAGCCTTAGCTATGACAATGTTCACCTATCTTTTCAAGAAAAAAAAATATTTAGAGAGTGGTTCTTTCCATCAAGTCTCTATTATAAAAAAAAGTATTCACTTTATCAAGTGACTCATAAGGCCATTATTATTGGGAGGGTTGGTTCTTTCCCAAAGGCATTGACTTGTTTACTCACCACCAAATAGGAAAATAATTCCATTTTTTCATGTTGGTTTTAAATTTGTATTTTATTTCTATCATCAATAAAAATGTCATACTTATTTTTTTTAATATGATTAATTTGGGTTTCAATGAAATGTAGCCGTTCAATTTATATTTTGGGAAAATTCTCGATAGGTACCTTGTACTTTAGGTCGAGTGTCAATTTAGTACCCAAGTTTTAAAATGTGACAATCTAGTATCCGAACTTTCAATTTGCGATGATCCAATACCCAACGTTAAGTCACCGTCATTCAGAACCATCACATAAGATTAGGTGTGATTTAAACATTTTTGTAATACCAAAACTAACCTTTATAAAAAGATTCAGATCATTTTGCCCTTTTCCCTTCCTATTTCCCTAATCCCCTTTCTCTTCAATCTGGGTTGAAGGAACGAGAGAAGAGATTAGACTCATCTTCCGCTCTTCATTCAGCGCATGCGTAGGTGGTAAGCTTCACTTAACTCTGACCATTTATTGACGAAACGAAGGTAGTGAGCATAACCCATTCCATCCCTTTCTCTTCAAACTCGGTTGAAGAAATGACAAAGGAGAGGAAACTCAATTGTTCATGTGCAAGTTGAAGGAATGACGAAGAAAGGTGGTAAGCTTTACCCATAACATATGATCAGTTTGTCGAAAATAGACTTGTTCTTGATCTCATTTCTCCCCTAACATTTGTTCATCCATAACCACACACAATACTAGTGGAGTTTTCATATAGACTCCACTCCAATTTCCGAGTATCAAGGAGAAAATAGTCCCAACTTGTTGGTTTACTTATTCTCACTATTCGTCCTTTGATTTATAGAAATTAGAAAGGAATTAGTTTTGCTGAAATTGCCCTAACTCTAACTGGATCCATGATCTTGATAGATAGGATGGATTTGTTAATCTTGTGTTGAGACTTGAGAAATGGATGGGGATTGCACAACCAACAAGTCTACAAAAGTTATAGCCATCTTAATGGAGGCATCAGAGATGGTGGGGCCAAGGTTTAGCTTCATATAGGCTTATTAGAAAATGTTCCTCCTTTAATGTTTCTTTGTCACAAAATAACCCAGAAGCGAATTCATGAAATGGTTTGGTTTTGTAACCACTAATCAAAATGTTCGATTTTGTAACTATTGGTGTTTGAGAGAAGAATAAACATGAAATGGTTCGGTTTTCTAATGATTGAGTGCTGGCCATCAGTACATTGTCCAACAAGAAAATTCCCATACAAAGGAATTTGAGAGATGAATGAATAGGAGAAATTCCCATACCAAAATCTTTATCATACCAGAACTAATCAAACCCTACTAAACATATGCCATCCATCCATCTCGAACGTATCAAACCATGTCTACAAGCCTTAAACCCTACTTCAAAATATATGCCATTCATCGATCTCAGTCATACCTAACCATGTGTCTACAACTAAGGGAATGAAAAACCCTAAAAAATCTTGCATTAAAATTAAGAAGAAGTCGATGTAATATAAAGACAGTTAGAAAAGCATAGAGAATGATAAAAAATAATAGCAAAAAACCATACCTTGGTTGTCTCTTCTGGCGCCAGCAACAAGAGTCGTCTTCTCCGGCAACAACTAAGTTAAAAAAAAGGTATGCTTTCCGGCAATTTCTTCCACAATACACAGATCAGAGCATTGGTTTCTTTGATTTCAACTTTTCCGACATCGCATTCGGGCATTGATTTCAACTTTTCCGGTGTCGCATTGGCTTGACATCACTAGCGTGAGGAACTGGTTTCTTCGGAATTTCAAGTAACAAAGTGAGTGAATAGTGGTTCCCACTTGAAGAGAAAGGATTATAACTGAGGTCATTTTCATCATTTTGAAAATTAATTCATGCATTGCTTGAAACTGCAGGTGGGTAATTATGCCTTGTTGCATCTTGATTGATGGTGAGTTAATGTTGGGTATTGGATCGTCGAAAATTGAAAGTTTGGGTACTAGATTGTCACATTTTAAAGTTTGGGCACTAAATTAACACTCAGCCTAAAGTACAGGTACCTATCGAGAATTTTCCCTTATATTTTATGCCCTCATAATTATAGAGGGATCAAGTTAAAAAATAGGGGTATTAATAGGATTAAATAAATGTTAATGGGAATTAATAGCTTAAATATAAGATTTAATAAAGGGTAAATTATAGATAGGTACCTTGTACTTTGGGGTAGTGATAGGTAGGTACCCTAAACTTTCAATTGCAACACTTGAGTACCATGAACTTTCAAAAATAGACACCTAGGTCCATCCATTAGTATTCCATTAGTTAAACATTACATAATGCCAAAAATACCCTTCTCATATATTCATTAAATCATTCTCAGGTAACCAAACGTTTCCCCATGATGACGTTCTTACATAAATAGTAAATTACATATTCAAATTTTCCAACAATGGCATTCTATTGTGATGATTTTACTCTGTATAATGATATAATGATATAGATATAAATAGAATAAATGTAAATTACAACCAAATTAAAAAATTAAAATACTTTAGTCAAATAAAAAATCTACACTCTCATTAGATATAGATATGGATTATATTAAATATCACTTGGCATAGATGCTATTTTGAAAACTACGAAATGTTGGGAATTAATGGTCTAAATCAGGTAAATTGAAGTGTGTGAACATCGACTACCACATATCAACCGCCCATTTTCCATTAGTTTGGACTAAGAAAAAGAGTCAGATCGCTTCCTTGTTGACCGATGATAGCCCATACTCCATACATTCTAAACAACTCCATCACTTCTATTTTTCTCTCTGTTACATTCTTGTGGTGGATCATTCTAATGGTGACTGAGCCCCCGGCAACCGTGGTAAGAAACCATGTGTCATCACCATGATTAGCAGCAGCCTGTTTTCACAAACCACTGCTTTAAAGAAAAGTTTACCCACGTGGTGGGCTGGGTGGCTGAGCCCCCGGCAACCGTGTCAAGAAATCATGTTCATCTCACCGTGATGAGCAGCCTGTTTTGAGACAAATTGGTAGGGCCCAGTTTGGTTTCCTTGCTCATTGGGCCATGAATTGAAAGCTTAGCTCACACAATAGCATCAAATTTCATGTGCATATACTGCATGTAAGAAATATGCCAAAACTTTGTTCCAAGACGAAAACAAACCAATGTTATGTTATATGTCTGGACTCTGGAATGCAATACGGGTTGGGCTCGCCTAGGTTAAGCCCATCATGACGTGTGATAATCCTGACCCTGGCCCCTACCTATCCAATATCAGCTATGCTAATCGGCCCAAGGACTCGGTCCTAAGTCTCCATTACAACCACTTTGAAACCTTACCAATCAAATAATTGGCACACCTTGTTCAAATGTATCTAAAGTCTAATTCGTCTTCTCATTCCTTCAAGTCTAAACGCAGATTTACATAGTTTCTTTTATCTTGGGGTGAGCGTAATTTGATCGATCGGTTAAAACCGAATAACTAAATCGAAAATTTTGGTTTCATTTTTCTTTTGGTTCAGTTTTATTGGGTTTTGGTTAATTTGATTTTCGATTTTAGTTTTTAAAATTGAAATTTCGGTTAACAGAATAAAACCAAATTAATTGATGTTTGATATAATATATAATATATAGTATATGATATGTAACATGTAATTTATAATATATTATATTATTTATATTAATATATAATATATTAAAATTTGCTTTCAGAATTTATAATATAGTATATATATTATTAAAATTCGGTTTTAACCTAAATAACTAAAAACTGGACAAAAAAATTTGACTTTAATTATTTTGATTTTTCTATAATTCGGTATTGGTTCAGTCTTTACTTTTTAATTCGATTTTAAAAATTTTGATTTATTCAATTCAGTTTTTAATCAAATAAACCGAATAATCACCCTTTTAGCCTTACTGCTAAAATCATCGTTATCCAGATCTAAATGGGATCAGTTATATGAATTCTGTTTGCCTTGTCGATCTCTCCCAAACACTTGTAGTTTTCTAGTAGGCGTTGTAGATGATGTTTCAAGCAAGACCTTCAAAATAAAGAAATGATGAAGACATATCGTATCCCATTTTTTTTATAAAGGGGCGCATCCCTTGTGAACACTAAAAAGACAAAAAGCCAGTGTTTGCTAAAAGCAGTATTAGACTTTTCTTCTAATATATATATATATATATACATAATAAATATAAATATAACGAAATGGGTACGCTTCTTCACAACAACAAATGAATATGGTTATAGAAAAATATTAATATAAATATATAATGAATGGAGACGTGCAGAAATCACTCCCCGAAAAATATCTTTAGCTCTTTTTGGCATCTCCAGGCCCAGGCGGTCACCAACCTAATTTAATAGGTGAATTTGAGGGTTTGATGCAACTATTCATAGATTTTTGGGAAAAGTACCAATCAGCTCATATCAGAATTTTCTAGGCCCAAAGTAAGGGGGAATGCATCTGACCGTGAATTGATACCAAATTTACGGGTAAGGGAAGAGGGCTAATTGTAGGGGGCTGAAATTCAGAATTCTTAAATGCTGCATGATAATATTTTGAAGTATTTGCCACGTGACAAAGGATACAGTTTTGGTTTCAACACGTCAATCAATTAAAGTGGGTGAAATGTCAAAAAATCGTTAAACGTTGCAGTTCAACTTCCACATCTCCAGAATATGACCCTTCGTTCGCCACTCGATAGAATTTCAACTTCAAGAGAAGGCGTTTGTGCAAACCGGGTCCAGCCTTTCAGGTCCAGTCCAGGTTCTTTCGAGATGCCAGATCATATATATATATATATTGTCATGATTAAAGATATGAGATTTGGGGGTATTTTAGTAAACTGGAGTATTAATGAAAATATCAAAAACGCTCAGTCACGGCCTGAACCGGTCACCCGATCACCCTATACTGCTCCTATGTTATAACATCCGATTTCCTCTCGTTTTTCTTTTAGCGGGTTCCAAGTTGTAGCTCTGTCTTCTTTCTTTCTTTCTTTCTTTCTTTCTTCAATCATTCTCTCATGGTGTCTCCCCTCGCATCACGCGTCATCTCGTCTTGCTTCTGTTGATATTTTTCCTTGTGTAATCGAGTAGATAGATAGATCTAGGGGATTTGATCGTGTTGTTAATGGTGGATGTGGATTGAGATTTTTCGTCTTGTGGTAGGGAAGAAATACAGAGAATGTCGAAGCTGTACGTTCATGCGGTGCCCCCGCCAGATCTGAACAAGAACACGGAGTGGTTCATGTACCCCGGTGTATGGACCACGTACATCTTGATCCTCTTCTTCTCGTGGCTCGTGGTGCTTTCCCTCTTCGGATGCACCCCTGGCATGGCGTGGACTATTGTCAATCTTTGCCATTTCGTCGTAAGCATCTCTTCATCTCTTTTTCATTCTTTCTCTGTTGTTGACGCACTAGGGTTTTCATCTCGAATTTGGATTTGTCCTTTTATTGTGGTGATTTGGATCTTTCAAGGGTTAGGTTTTAGGTTTGATTTCGTTTTTATTTTTTTCGGCAGTGATTTGTTATTTTTTGCTTTTGTTCTCCTTCTCTGTTTTATATGTTTGTAATTTTGAATCATGGTTGCGAATTTGTTTTTGAGGACACCATTTCTCGAGTAGGTGTTATTTTTGAGAGATGATTCCTTTGTGGATATTTAATTACTTTTGTAGATGTTTGGGGCTTCTGTTGGGAAATATCAGGAAGCGGGGTTCTATGGGTTCAGAATACAGCTTGTAACCTAGATGTTATGGCAGTTGATCTCATGAGCTGATGCTTCATGTCTCCAGAATTTGGCTCCTACGTGTATCAAAATTGAAAATCCTGGTTTTTACAATAATATTTGGCTTCATTCTGGCAGTTATCATGCATCTCTCCTCTCATGCTTTACTTCATCCTATCCCCACCTTCTTGTAAGATTAGTCTCTTAGCTAAGAGGTGGTTGAACCGTTGAAGTAAAACATATACATGAAGATAATAAGTATATGTTCCTATGATGGATCCTTGGTGGTCTCATGGATGCAAACACGTTGTTCTAGAATTGTCATTTTGATAGTCATATGAATTTGTAATACACAATGTTAGTCATATGAATTTGTAATACACAATTCCTAGTCTCTTGGAATGTGAGGAATTGATTGAGAATCTTCAATATTGAGGTCATCGTGTATTACTTGTGCATGGGTGTACCATTTGGATTCTAGTCAATTCTAAGTGAAAGCTGCTACATCCCTCATTTCACCTCTCCAGTTATGTTTTTCCAAATTGCACTATATTTAAGAGAACATTTATCATTTCTGGCCCTACTTAAATGTCTTAATCTTTTGACTGCTGATTGGTGTCTTGAGCATATGTTGTTTGCATAGGAAAGATTATGGCATGCCAGTGGCACAAGTTTGTTGTTGTATCATGAAGATGTCCATCTTAGAAATATCTGTTTATTGTATTTCTTTCTTTTTTTTATCCTAGTTTGCTTTATGAGCTGATTAATGTCTTAGAGAGGTTACAGATTTGGTGATTTCTCCTCTGTGGGCTGGATCTGTTCAAGGGTAGGATATTGTAGACTAGAAATTAATAGCAAATATGTGGAGAATAAGTGACGAGCCTAGGACTTGGGAATTTTACCGTGCAAGTGTGTTGCTGATAAAAAAAAGATCTTTTCTGTGCATGATGGAGTTGGAGAAGGAATATGGACCATGTCAGTTGGTCTTCTGTGGATCTTGTTGGGAAAATTAGGTTTTTGGGAGAATTAATGAGAATGCAGCAGGGGCCGGCTGTCTTTCTACTGTTCAATTATATATCCCTGTAGATGGATCATCTAAGGATGTCTTCCCTATAAATATGGGATTGAGGCTTGAAGTGAGGTGACCTTCTCTCACCTATGTCAGTAGTGTTGGCCTTATCGTGGGCTTTAAAGTTGTGGCTGAGGTCCCCATGACCCATTTTCAATTTACTGATGATAAAATCCTTTGAGGGGATCTCCAACCTTGAAGTAAATATGAGGAAAAGCATCTTGATGAGGATTAGATTACAGAATGCCTTTCTATCATTAGTATTCTAGGATGCTATGTGTGTCTTACTCCTTGTAAGTTGCTTTTCAGCTATATAGGCTTCCTCTTGGTGGTAAGCCCTGTTAGAGAGCCTTCTAGATTCTGATCTTGGATAGATTCACTAAAAAAACCCTCAACTTGGAAGAGGGAACTGAATATCAACTTGATGCATATGCTGATTGCTGAAATGGTTTAGTGGAGAAACTAGAAAGGATATTATAGGATCAGAAATTAACTCATTGGAAAGAACCTCGGAATAGGTGATAAAATGAGAGAAAGTAGACTAAGATGATTTGGTCACATATATGGAAAACCATCTACTGAACCTGTAAGAAGAAGCAATCTGCTGCAACTTGAAAGGTCTTGAAGGGCTAGGGACAGAGCAAAAACGACATGGGTTAAAGTAGTAATAAATGGTTTAAAGGCTAATAATTTAACAATGGATATGACACTAAACAGAATGGAATGGTGAAACAGGATTCATGTAGCCAACTCCATATAGTTGGGATGAAGCTTAGATGATGATGGGGCCTCATTTGATCAGAGTTTCCTGTTGTATGTCAACTATTGATGGACTTAGATATGCAATCCCTTGTTCTGCTATCTTCCAACAGGAAGAGAAAGTTATTGTGGAGAACTGGAGATGCATGGGTGCAGCTGTACTATTGAACTATGTAGGAAGAAAGGAAAGAACTCTTGTAGGTCTGATTAACTTCTCTTTAGTTTTTTGAATAAATTCATTTACTCTTTCTTTCATAAAAAAAAGAGCTCTGATTAACTTAACCAGTCAGGTGTCAAATTTGGCAAGAAGGTTAAAAGGATGATTTCTTATGATAAATATTCTCTTTTGGTCTGTTAACAATAAAATGAATGAGTTATTTACATAATTGTGTCTATGCACTTAATTATTTTACCAAGTTTAGATATTGATATGGTAGACTATATATGGTTTAGTTTGATTGGAATAGATCATATGGAACAATGAGGTTTTACTTTATACAAATGTAAACCTGTCCATTTGGTCACTTCTCCTAATATAGTTTTACTATATCTGCCATTTTGTGTGCATATCTTATCCATGCTAGAATTGTCTCACTGGAGTTACCCACCTTGTACTTAATCATACTTGGTAATTAAGTGTTTAGGTTACATTCTACAATGCAGTTCTGATGGTTCATTCATATATGTTGATTTAAGGATATGCCTCTTCTTTCAGGTCACTTATCACTTCTTCCACTGGAAGAAGGGAACTCCATTTGCTGAAGATCAAGGTATCTATAATGGATTGACTTGGTGGGAGCAGATAGACAATGGAAAGCAGCTTACTCGCAATAGAAAGTTCCTGACTGTCGTACCTGTGGTTCTGTGAGTATATCTCTATTAAGTTGGCCCTAGTACATTTGCCAGTTGTGAATCTGACTACGTATGATAATGACATTGTTTTAAAGGGCTGACTGTGTACTCTTTCTTCTTCTGACCCGTATAATGATGGATAATGTGATCCCCGATGTCATTGAGTATTTTTCTTAACCAAATACGGAAAATTTGTTAGCTATTGGGAGAGAATGTTGAAGTCAACCAATAATTAGCAAGAATATTTTCTGTTCAGAAAAAAAAATCAGTAGGAAGATTCAAAAACAAGTTGACAGGAAAAGATGTACCTTTTAGGGGCATTTAATGTTGAACTTGTGTATGGAATTCCAAGCAGTTTAGCCCTAACAAACCGTACATGTACTAAATTTGCTAAAGATTGAGTAAACAAAAGTTGGTGGTAATTGTCTTTATGCTTGGACAATGTTTAATCCTTGGGGCAGGGGGTGATGAGGTTTTTCTTTTTTTTCTTTTAATATATATCGTCCCTTTGTTGTATAATGAAAAAAGAATGAATATTAAATGAGATAATCAAAACTTAAAAGTATACCAGATGCGGTATACCATGCATTGATATGAATTAAAAAGTAAATTTTACTGATACTTTTCTTTTATGTAAATTATACCAAGAAATGCTAGAAAACATGACACTGTTTGATGTCTCCATTAGGTTTCTAGTATTCTAGTGAAAAACAATGTTGTGCACAAAATCTGTATATCAACTATTTTGGGAGATTATTAAGAAAGAAAGGGAAGGGACCTTGCGGGTGTTATCTTTGATAAGTGAAAATAATTGGTTTTCATGTTAAATCATTGATGCTTTAGGAATGATATTGTAATATTGAAATATGACAAATATCATTCTAAAGCTATCAAGTCACTACTGTGCATATAAAGCCACATGCAAGTGGAAGTTTTGGGAGTATAGATGTGCCTGCCTCTGTTAGTTTTTAACTTTTTATACAAGTACTTCTGGTTACAGGTGGTTTTCTATATGAGTTCAATTATTTTGTGTTTGTTCTCTTAGTGTTTTTTCTTTTATTTGAAATAAGCATTATCTCTTTCCTTTCTCTATATAAGAGTCATTTCCTATCCTTCTTGATTGCATATAGTGCAGCTACGTTGTCTTAAATTTCATGTCAAAACTCACAAAAGAGGCAAATGAGAGGACAGAAAAAAATGTGATGTAAAATTTACCATCGAGTAATTTCTAGTTTTTACCATATCTAGTCAAAAGAAATGTCTTTTGTCCACCACACAAGGCTATTATCCAGCAGATACTTTGTCCCCTTTATTTTTTGGCTTGTTATTCTTGTTCTGTCTTTCTTTTGTTATTTTTCTTATTAATTTTCTTGTATAGGATTAGGATTTAGTTTTTTTTTTTTAATTTGTAAAAAGGGCTAATTGATTCTAAGGATAGTTATTTTTCTTATCACTTTTTACTGGGTAATGAATGGTAGAATGAAGAAAGTTTGCTACTCTTTGAGTGTGCGCAGGGTGGATCTCTCTCTCTCTCTCTCTCTCTCTCTCAGGAGGAATTTTTGTAGAGTTTTGGAATGAATTTGAATTTCAAGGATAACCCTATTGTTTGAAGCAGAAATTTATTCTAATTTCTTTTCTCTTTCTTCCTATTTGTTTCAAGATAGGATTAGCTGAATGCTTTAGCTGTTTAGCAGGCTGTGGAACCAAAGATAAGACTCCACACCAGTCTTAAAATACATGGGGTCCACAATCATTCAACCTCTTGGTGTGGGCCCCATGTATTTTTTCTCCGGTATGGAATCTAATCATTGGTTTCCACAGCCCGCTGAACCAAAGATTGTTACCTTTGTCTTAGTTGAATCCCATTCATCTGCCTATGCTTTTTTCCTTCATTCTATGTCACCATATTTAACCTGTAATCTTTTATTTTTAGCAATAAAATAAAATATTTTCTTTATTTATCTTCAAAAAAATTAAAGGATGTTAATATTCTATGTAGATATCATTTGGGTACAGAATGTCTAAATTTCAATCTTTCAATGAAGACTTGAATCTAAAGAGACTTGTGTAAAGACTTACAACTTGACAAAGAATCGTCTCTTGATAGAGTGCACTAGCAGGTCAAGATTTGTTAGCCAACCCCTAGCAGTCGGGATTAAATCTCTGTTTGGTTGAACTCTAAGGGAATTGGGTTGGATTATTGGGAATGTTCCTACCTTCCACAGATTAGTTGCCCTAACCAGGATCCTAGGTGTTTTATCTGAAACAAAAATTTCCCTCCCTGGTAACCAGATTAAATTATTCTTGTATTTTTCGATAGATCTGGTATTTTGTCCTCCATGAAATCATTGATCCATAAATTCCACCAGAAATAGTAATAGAGATTTTGGATACCATGTGCAAATATATGCATGGTTTGTACTACAAAATTTTCTCTGATTTGACAGATAAATGGTGATATGAAATGCCAAGGGGTAGTTTGATATTACCAGTAGTAGCTGAACTGAATCACTTGTTGCATTGTCTTTTGGTGAATAATATTATTCAGGAGGTTGGAAGCTCCGTAATGGCTGAAAGTGAAGTTGGGCTGATTACTATGCTCTTGAATTTTTTATTATTTTATCCATTAAAAAACGTCACAATAAGTCAATCAGTTGAGCCACTTCAGCTGTTATCAAACGGCAACCAAGTTTGTCGTTCTTTCTCGTGTGATGTGCAAGGCACGGATCTAATTCAAACTTATCTTTGTCTTGATCTAAAACTCCTCTCCAGTCCAAGTGACACTATTGCATGGTTTTGGGTGGATGATTATTGGTCCCATTTTCTGTGTCCATTCAATTGATAGTAGAAGCCCGTTTGGGAGGGCTTCAGCTTTGGTTGAGCTTCGACTGAGTCACTTCTAACTAAAACTATCTTCACAGAAAGTATAATCTGGCTTTTTGGTTTTCTTGTTTTTTTTAACCAAACGTGGATTGTAGATTTTCCGTGTGGGGGCTCATCCTGCAATACCAGAAGCTACTGTGTGAAAGCCCCTCCCAAATGGGCTGTGTGAAAGCCCCTCCCAATGTTCCTAGGCTTCATCTGGTTGCACTGCGAGTTTCATTTGTACTGGTGTAAATGCATGGGAAGTGTATATAGGCTGAATGTAAATTCTGGTTTGTCGGGTTATTTGTGCAACCTTGTATGCAAAGAGAATGGAAGTAGACGTGTTATTTGTTTGGGGGTGAGGTAGGAAGCAAGATTATATCTATATGGTCCTCACTTGGAACCGAAGTAGGAGGAAGGTGATGTAAATTTTGTATCATTTTTTGAGATGTTAAATTTACACTGCTAGTGAATGCAAGCAAGAGACTAGTACAAATTTTATTTCAGGTAAGAGCACAAATTATAGTTACAAACAAACAGATGCAAAACTAAACTGGGTGCAAAATGTGTATCTGGTTCATATTTGCACTGCAACCAAAAGGAGCCTTCGGGATGTCCCACGCCTGATTTCATGGCTGGCGATGATTTTTGTGCTAGGGGCGCCATCCAAGTTAACCTTCTTTTGCTTCATGTTGGTGCATTTGGAAGGAGAGGGTCTTGCATTTATTTTATGGCAAATGATCACTGACCAGGTCCTAATGTTTCCGTAGGCAAGGTTGAGAGGGTGCTGTTGCTTTGGGTTTTAGTTCTTAAGTTTTTCTAAGGCTTGTCCCAGTCATTGTTGGAAACTATGAGAAGGTATTTAGTTTAATGCTTTTAAGACGTATTCAAGTTAGAAGGCATACGTGATACACGTATAATTGTATATGATTTATTTTCAGTTGTGGCTTATTAGTATATTAACCATAATCGTCTATCCAACAAATATAATTCTTGAGGTACTTGTATGATTCAACCTGATTATGTGGAATGTTTGTTTTTGTGACAGGTACCTGATAGCCTCGCATACAACAGATTACCAACATCCGATGCTTGCTCTCAACACTCTTGCTGTCTTCATTCTGGTGGTTGCCAAGTTCCCAAACATGCACAAAGTCCGGATTTTCGGAATCAATGGAGACCATTGACTTTGGGTTTACCTTGCAATGATCATTCTGGTGGTTGCCAAAGTTCCATAGGTGCACAATGTCTCAATCTTTGGAATGAATGCCAGATCATTGGGTTTGCCTTTGCCATATATGAATAGATACTTTGGTTTTACTTTTGTAGAAGTGTTGATCTTTTCTACTTGAGATGGTTATATCCCTGTACAGAAGTCTGAACTGGAAAGGGTACTTGTTTCTCCTCTTTGATAAGTGCGAGTTTTGCATCAACTGTCTTGACAAAAAACTTTATCCCCTTTGTTAAATATAAAACAAAAATAAGTGTATCGAGCCCCTGTTGTACAACTAAGAATCAGCACAACTTAACGAAGCTTTGTCCCAACTATTGGATTTATAGCTGTACATTTGAGGAAACTTGTCGAATTTAGAGAATTTTTTGCTTCTGCGTGTTTTTTCATTCCCCTATTAAGTAGTCAAGTCAGGTAAAGTGTATTTTCTTTTTTGGGTTTTGTATACCCAGAATTTTAAACAAGAAATCAAGGTTATGGAGCAGAGATTATAAGTCCACAATGGGACTCTACATCACCAATCTCCTCATGGTATTCCTGGTTTTTACCATCTTGTTTAGTTAATAAAAGCATATTTGAATTACCAAGAAAAAAACAAATAAACATTCCGCACTGTTGATCAGAACCAAACCCCTAAATTATTACTTGGGGAAGAAGACAAACCTAGGCATCATAAAACACTTCAAACATTGTCAGACATGGTCTATGCGAAAAGACAAGAACACGATAGAGTAGACCTTTTGGCCAAGGGCATTATGTTAGCCAAGGAAATTCAACTTGATGAATGAAAGGACATGATGTTTTGTCTATTTTCGTTGTTAGGTTGCGGCTTCTGATATTTCTATAGGTCCTCCAATCTATGTATTAAAACATCCCGCTCTTAGCAAAAGTCTATATATATTTTATAGTCATGCGTAAAGACTAAAAGAGTTTCCACATGAGGGCCTATTTGGTTCACAGCCAGAATCGGAATGGTTTATTCTCATAATCTGTTTGGTTCAGATTGGAATGGAAATGGGAATTGGAATAAGCAGGAATAAGATTTCATTCCTAAGAGAAGGGAAGGGAATGACTCTTCCCTCATATGGGAGAATGCCATTCTGATAGAAATGGGAATGGGATTCTGATTTCACTCAACCAAACAGTTGGAATTGGAATAGTCCATTCTGATTCTGATTCTAGACCCTATTCCCACAAATCAAATGGGATATGAGGTTTTATATTTATAGGCATTACTAATCTAGGGTGGGGTGGACAGTATATATAATAGAAAGAGAGAGAGAGAGAGAACCATAGACTTGCCAACTGTGCCAGTTGGCACCATCAGGAGAGAGCTAACCGGAGACCTGCCAACTGTGCCAGTTGGCACCATCAGGTTTTAGGTTGCTCGAGGAGGCTCCATTTTTATCCCAAAAACTTTGGCTGTTGGGAATGCTCTTGGGCATCACATTAACAGGGGTGTGGGATAAAAAAATTCATTGCCCTGAATATTCTTTTAATCAACAGGACAAGCAGAGGAGTGAATGGGTTGCTGTGTCAATTAGGGGTAAGCATGGGTCGGTTCAGTTCAGTTCCATGGCAGAACCTATAATCTACCTTATAGGGGTCGATTCTAGGTTTTTGGAACTGGAACCTACATTGTTAGGGTTTACCTGTGGAACTTGTTCTATCTTTACTCTTTCCCTTCAAGAAAAAAAAAATGAAACATGTCCTTCAAAAACTTGATTTTCAATAAAAATAATATATAGTTTAAAACTTATATTATCTTTATTGATTAGATTGGGTAATTTAATATGTAAATTATCATAATATATTAATATATGGTTGATAATTTGTCATTATAATTTAATTTTATAAATATTACCTTTTACATTATTTATTGTACACATACAAATATTAAAATGAAAACATATGATCAAATCACTTAACTAACTTGATGGTCAAGTTAGACCATGGCTTTTGTAACCATTATTGTTTGCGCTCAAATCTTTACATCTTTAAAAAATTTTTGGGGTTTATTTCAAGCCATTTCGGTTCCAAGGTCAATTCATTGGATCAGTTTGGGTAGGATAAACCCCTAGACCCTGGAATCGACATGAGTGGGGGTCAGTTCTAAGAATTTGAAACTAAACCTACCCTATAATAGATCGATAGGGTCGGTTCAAGGTCAGTTTAAGATCGGTTCCATTTAATTCCGGGTAAAACCTACCCATTGTCAACCTATAATGAAAAATAAATAGACGAATGTTGGTGGGGTTATGATCAGATAGGGGCTCTTGGTGAAGAGTGTGTCCAAAACCGTGTGGGACAAGCTTTTTCTGCAGTAGTATTGACTGTTGAGGTGGAAATGAATATTTGAAAGGGGTTTTTATTAATTTAGTTATCTTATAAATTTTTATTGATTTGTACAATTAGAAACAGGTAAGAAATTTATCAAAATATGAGAGGTACGGGTGGGGGTTTGGAACCGCGGGTACTGGGGGTAAATAAAAAAAAAAAAAACTAATAAAAATTTATGAGATTGTGATAAATTTACTTATTTGAAAACAGATTTAGGAAAATAAAATAAAATAGAAAATATGAAATGATAAAACTGTATTTAGAAAAAAAGTAGTACTTTTAAATCGGTGATTTTGACTAAAATAGTTATACCGTAGAGAACTGGACCGACTAAATATCCCATATGGTGTATTAATTAATGACCGTAAATGCCAATAGAGAACTGGACCGACTAAATATCCCAAACTGAAGGCTGTGTTTAATAGAAAATAAGAAAGGACGAGGAATTTGAATAAAAGTTTTCAAGGAATTTTGTACTCTCAACACTTTCCCTTTCATACCATGTAACAACTATTAGGTAATTTCTCTGAATAAATCTGCCATGCCTCTTAATACAAGGGCCTATCACACTTGAAATATACATAAATTTAGATCCATGTATACCTTACGGTAGAATTTAATTAAGGGCAAATTTTTTAAGTTATCCCTACTATTTAGTTAATTGATAAACTCTATCATTACCGTTTATCTATTGTCTTAAAGTATCTCAATTATTTTTAATAATTAACTAATTACTCTTCTATCGTTAGGGTTCTATCACAATCCGCTTACATGCCACACCACGTGACTTATATTTTGAGAAGATGGCAATAATACCCTTTCTCCTAAATTAGAGAAAAAATGCCGATGGTTGTTAAGATGCAACACTAGAGAGAGACAAAGAGAGGCTGCTTGGCATGCTGCTCATCATTGATTCTCAGACATGGAGTCTAAGGGGGTGTTCTGCAGTGTGAATTAAGAAATTAGTGGGTGTGGGCTGGTCTATACTACACCTTATGGTAGGAATCAATCCACACTACACCACACTACAGTCCACAACTGTTCTAAACTATTCACAGATTGTGGATTGGATTAGTCCACATCCATAGTGGTGTTTTGTAGGTGTGGTGTACGTGGACTAGTCCACACCCAAGGTTCAAAGTATTGATACTATACGAGTTTCGACAGTATCGTATCGACACTTAGAAACGACCGAAACTCTTTTTTTTTGTTTTTTTTTCAAATTTTGGTTTTTTTGGAAGTTTTTAGCATGCTTTTTATTATTAAAAAAATTGGGAAACAAGTGTTTCGGACCATATCATTTTCAAAAGATGCAATACATTATGCCCGATACGGGGCGTATCGTATCGATACTTTGAACCATGTCTACACCACACTTTTTGATTCCATGTATCTTATATACAATTTCTGAAGTAATCTACACAGTCGATCATAAAATGTCTAATTTGTATAATTATGTAATAAATAAATTGAAAAAAAGGCTTTGACAATTGAATGTTAACTAAAAAATATTAATTTCAACAAAATGGTAATAAAATAATTTAAAAATAAAAATTACTATTTTATTGATAAAAATATAAAAGTAATATTTAAACAAACGAAATAACAATTTATTGCGAGATAAGCGTAGCACCAAACTATTTATACAAACTAACAAATATAATGGCATACCAGTGGTGGAGAGTAGACTTGTTCATGGGCCGGGCCGGGCCGGGCTTTTACTGTGTATTAACAAATTTTTTTAAGGCCCGAGCCCAACCCGACCATCGGGCCTACAATTTGGGCCCGAGCCCGGCCCTCATAAAAAGCCCGAAGCCCGAGCCTGGGCCCGGGCCCAAAATTTAGCCTATATTATTATTATTAATGTTGAAGCAGCTGAATAAAGAGAGAGATAGATTGAAATTATAAAGAAAAGAATAAAATATATATATATATATATATTAAATTATAAATATATATTTTAATAAATATTATATTATTTATATATTTTATAAAATATATAATACTGAGTCGGGCCGGGCCGGGCTCGGGCCGGGCTTTTTTGACAAATCCCGAGCCTGGCCTGAAACACAGTCGGGCTTACTGTGTTAAGCCCGAGGTCAAGCCCGCGGGCCTAATTATATGACCAAGCCCGGCCGGGGTGCGGGCCGGGCCGTCGGGCTACCCGGCCCATGAACAAGTCTAGTGGAGAGATTTGGCAAAGCATAGCAGCAAAAATCTTTGGCAGTGGAGACCTTCAACAGTAAAATGATATATAGGATTTGGAGGATGCTATGAAGCAGGGTATCAAAAATGAACCTTATACCGACCCCATCCACGAGAAAATGTTGTTGCCGATAATTTGGGGTGTGAACAGGGCCGGTCCATGATATAGTTTGGACTGGTCCTATCCACGACCAACTAAATGGGGAGTTCATCCCATGGTGTGGACCAAAATGGTCCATCCATGAGATGAACACGTTACGAATCCCACCCAAGTTGCCATTGGAGAGGTACAAGGAGCACAACATGGTGGTACACGGGTCTGGAATCGTTTATTGAGATTGTGATCGGAGGTGGGTAATCGGAGAAGGTGGATAACTCCACTGATTTCAACAAGTCTACCTAAGAAGTGGAGATCAAAAAACCTTTTGCACACATCAATCATCTTCTGTATAACATCCATGGGAATGCCATGGTTTTTCACATGCAATTAATCTACCATGATAAGCTTCCTGTCTTCGAATGACCAACTTAATAGTTCACAACAACTAAATCATTTAAACTGACTGAAATTTAAAGTTGATTCTTCACTTGAAAGAGCACATATTCTTCACAGGCTTTCACTAGGTTCTTTAGAACTTGGGACCTCTCAGGATCTTGCAATTGAGCGAGCGAGAGAGAGAGAGAGGTGGGTGAAGAGGGAGATGATGATGATGCGTTCACATTTTTGAGGCGTGCGATAAACTTTCTCTGGAGGAGATTTCATTTTGTTTCTCATTTCTTTACCCTCTCCCTTTTGTTTTTCATTTCTTTGTTTTCCCTTTCCTCCTTCGTACTTTCAAAGGGGAGGCCTAGGGCTAACATGCTCAAGTGGGGGAGGGTTCCTTACACTGTTCCCAGCAAACCAGAAAACTAGACTCAGATAATGATCTCGCTTAAAGGGTTGCAACAAGTATCTCGTGAAGAGTTGTTGAGTTGCAACCTGAGTTGCAAAGGTGCAGATATAGGTTATCCTTTGAGGCGTGTGCGTGTGCCATTTCTTCAGCTTCCTCAAAATTTTCATTAGATGGTTTTTTTTTTTTTTTAATTTTGAGGAATAGTAGGGTAAATTTGGCATTTCATTGTTTTTCGTTATGCTTAATGACGATATCAATTATTAGAAACAATAGGGGTACTTTAAGACAATATGTAAACAGTACTATTTACAGTTTGTCAATTAACTGAACAGTAGGAATAGTTTAAGAAATTTACCCTTTAATTAATTATAATGAGACATGAAGATGGAATACTAAACCACTTGGTCAAATTAGCATTGATACTAGGGCCAAGGAACCATTCAGCCTAAAAGCTTAGGCTGTTAGAAGGGGTCCTTGAAAAGGTATTTATTCTCTAACATGCCCCCTTACACAAAAGCCCATTGGGCTTGAAGCTTTTAGGTTGAATGGTTACTTCGACATGTTACTAAAGCCTCTTTGGCCAAGTGGTCACTATTTATCCTCGTGGCTCTCATTATAATCAATTAAATTTCAACAAAAGGTATGAGAGGGCATGTGTTTTTCCATGCTTCAAACATGATGGGCTTACATTTGTGAGGGTGTGTTAAAGAACCAAAACGTTTCAGGGACATCAACTAACAGATTAAACTATTAGGTTAAACGGTTACTTAAGATGACATTAGAGCATATTTGGCCAAATTGAAAAGCATTTGATCATTGTCATCTCCATTATAATTAATTAAGTTTCAACACAAGGTCTAACTAACAGGTTAAGCTTTTAGGTTGAACAATTCCTTGACATCAAATCAAACATAACTTAACTGCATTTCTTCTATTGAATTTCAACCACCTGTCTCCTTCATACCTCACAATTGCATGCAATTTGCAGTTCCAATTTAACAATTAATGTGCATTGAGTAAGGTGGCATTGAATTCTGACTTATATTTGGCTAGAAGTAATTTCGTATTTCGAAACCTAGTCCAATTTAAGATTGGTTTTGACAACAACCACATTTTTGTGGTTTTCTTTCTTGGTGAGTTTTTTTTTTCTTTGGTAATTTCTTGAACAAGTATACATAGAGTATTATTTTGATTAGGTGAGAGATCAACTTTGCTATTGTTATCTGTGGGACTGGGAGGCTTCCTGGAAAACAAAGAGAAGACAGTTGAAGGATGCAATACTAGTTTTAAGTTGATGAAGTGGGAACACGGAACCTGATCCGAAATTGTTGGGACATATGACATTAATTTTTTTAGGAACAATAACATTTGTATAATATATTAATAGTAGTAGTAGTACGTAGCTACAAAGCCTTGAAAGAAGAGTTAATAATAGAGTTGGTAGATAGATGGCTTTATTACCTTTTACATGCAACCACAGTAACAGCACTTCTACTCCACGCTTTTACGTACTTCAAAAAGGCAAAGTGGCGAAGAGCATCATATCCGGCCGGCCGGTGGGTTAACCAATAACCATCACACTTCTGTTCACAGTTCAGTTCAGCTCAGACTGATGCATGCCTTTGAGAATTATATGATTAATTTGTGTACTTGGAAATCGTAGATGCTTTGGACAAAGGATTTGGGTTCTCTTCTCAACATGCTGTGCATCTACAGCCTTATTGCATTAATTTCTAAATCTAGGTGAACTGATGTAATTAAAATATGCTAGGCCGTAAGACTGGATGTTTGCTGTTGCTGATGTGGCTAGAGATCCTTTTGGTAAGGTTGTGGATTTCAGTGGTTACTCCATGGGATGCTCGTCTATAAACACGTTGCTGAAGCATGGGCTGCTTGGGAGTTGGGAGGCGCTCAGGTGCACAACCTCACCAATAACTTTAGGAATTCGGCATTGATCATTGAAGGGGATTCAAACTTCAAAGCTTGTCATTTCATGTCTCAAAGGTCTTATTTCCCTCCCATGGAATCTCAAGAACATCGTTCAGGAGTGCCAAAAGATTAAGGATCAGCTCGAGAGTACGGTTACTTACAAGCATGTCTTCAGGGAAGCGAATCAAGTGGTGGATTGGATTGCAATAAAAAGCTCACTTGAATTTTGGTTCTATTCATCTTAATTTGACTAACCTCTCTTGTGCCACATCAACCATTAAATGGAATAGTGAGAAAATCAAAAATGTTGGGATGCAGGAAAAGAGACATTTAAATTAACGATTCCAAAATAGCTTCGGTGATCTTGAATCACTAAGGTAATTTGGCACATTTCATTTCTGAGATGTTATATAATTGTATTATAAGTATATTATAATAATAAGTTAAAACACTTTAAACACCCAATCAGCTCGCATTTCTATCAAAAACGATTTTTTTTTCTTTTTTTTTGTGTTAAAAAAAAACAGGTGAAAATGTTTTGGTGCCAAACACCCACTAATTTCCATAAGATAGACTCAGAACAGAACCAAATATTAATCACTAGACCTGATTATATAGGGCATCTATAATTATCTATTAGAATAACAACAGACAACTCAATGTTTGCTAACATATCTTTAACAAAAAAGTTAGAAAAATAGTAAAATATCAATATCTTGATTAAACAAGCGATTTTAAACAAAATTATCAAAATTTTGAAATGTATCCTTTTAAACGTAAAGCATAACAAAAAATACAAAAAAAAAAGGAAACTTTATATATCCTTAACTATATAACCAATTCCAGTCTTTATTGGTTTGATACAATAAAATATCAGTACCAACCGAATTTTTAATCAGGACACAAATACAGAACCGGAATCAACATATTCAGTGTATGAGATCAGAATGCAGTTTTGTAACTTTTTGTTCTTGGTTCTGGTAGGAGTGATCAACAAAAACCAAAAAATCAAACCAAAGAAATCGAACTAAAAAATCGAAAATTTACCAAACTGATCGGTGTACATATAGTATTTATATTATACATTATATATTTTTATAGTATATAATGAAAATATAAAAACCAAAGAATCAAATTAGTCAAAAATCAAACCCATCAACCAATTGGTTTATATTCGGTTTCAGTTCATGATTTTTTTAAGAACCGATTGATGTTACTGATTCGGTTCAAAAAACAGTTGATGGTTCAATTAAACTAACCATAAGCACCCTTAGGTTCCGGCTTTAATTGGTTAATTTAAAACAACAAGAACCAGTCTCAACTTTCAACCTCCCGATTATTAATGGGACACAAGTACAGAACCAAAACCGATATAATGAAATAAACCCGACCCATTGACAGCTCTGGCTACAAATATTAAAACAGAATACAAATTTATTAATTCCACGTTTAATTAAAAAAATTCAGGAGTAATATTCTAGATAAATTGTATGAGATGAGACTATGAGAGGTCCAACAGATCTAAAAGATAGTGGTAAAACTTTTTTCAAGTTTGGCACGGAATTGAGGAAGAGGCCATGGTAGTGATTTGTGACAGGTTGGTGCATCTCCATTTGCCTCTTTTATATACATATACTCGTATGCAATTGCAAACACACACTAAGTGCTGAACGCCACAAAACAAATATATATATATATATATATATATATATATATATATATATATATATAATAAATAGATGGTCTATATGTGGATGGATTAGCTAAGTGGGGAAGATTATTCGTCGGCACGCTTGCCTAGGGGAATGTTTGTGGGACCTTTCTTAACCAAAGAGAGTTGGTCTTTGTCAGAATATTTTAATCTTTCATTATGAAAAGAAGGGAAGATGGCATGAAAGTAATGATCATTCATCCAACAGGAAGCCTATCTACCAAATAAATTTCAATGGGAGGGGGGGAGGGGGGTTCTTAATTAATTTAATTGCCCCTTTGGGGACTGATCAGTGGACATGGAAACTTGGAAATCATGAGTTGGGGTTTTGGTTGAGGGCTTGAGTTGGGGCTGATGACGAACTGGTTTCCCAAAACAACAGTCACAGTTCGATCCATTTGCATTGGTGAACTGAACCCTCCTCCTAGGGAAGACTGAGGAGCTAGAGCTGATCGATGTATAGTTAATTTGTATTTATAATTTAAAGGCTGCAATTGCATTGTGGGCCTAATACTATGATGCCATGTTGTGATGGGGGGAAGAAATGGATCATGAGTCATACACTCCTACCTACTTGTTCTTGTTCTTCTCCTCCAGCTCCTACTTGCTGAACAAATGTGCTTTCATGGCTGGAAGAATCTTTAATGGTGCTGACGAGACCTGACATTACGGATATATCTGTTTGCAAGAAAAGAAAAAAAGCCGGCCGAGGGACGAAAAAAGAAACAAAGCTACAATATATAGGATTAAATGCCATCGTTCAATTCAACCCACATCAGATTTAATAATAATAATAATAATAATAATAATAATAATAATAATAATAATAAACATGAGAAGTAACACAATCCCAGTTTGTTAAATCTTAAATGAGAAAAACAAATTAAACAAGTAGTCCTGTTTATGACTGTCCATGAGACTCCTTAAGAATTTCCACAATTCACAAGCTCTTGGTACCTACAACATGAATATTATTTGGACCAATCCCACCAAAACCATACAACACTGATGATGCCCATTTGTTACTCCATCCCTTCTCTGTAGAAGATGGAAGAAAATATGATTTTAGGCCATTGTGCAAGCACTGGAAGCACTCATGCTTCTCTAGCTTCTACATGTTTCCCTGCAAAATGAAAACAGGAAAAAAAAAATAAAAAGAAAAAAAAAATCCTGGGTTCTTCTTGATCTTTTCGTCTATGATACGCAGTATTCCATGACACCCCTTTTGAAGCCAACCTAAAATGAGCTTCAAATCTTCGCAATGAACAAAGAGCAAAAAGAAAATAAAGGAAAAGAAATAAATAAACCATGTATCTATCTGTTAGTCTGAAGAAATCCAAACAAGTCACCAACCATGTGAAAAGAAGAGAAGCACCAGTTTCTTTTTACTCCTTGCTTTTTTTTTTCCTTCTTTTTCTCTATCAGCGTCATCATCATCATCATCGATCTTCATGTTCTTCTTTACCATGATCCTCCGCCCAACATTCCATTCCAGTACCCAGTTGAATCTCCTTGTCCTCTATTCTGCTCAAATTCAGTTGTGCTTGAAACCTGTCTCAGATCCTCAAAAGGAAATAACAGTCTCCCACTACTCTCCTGCACTCCATGGAGATTCCCATACCCACCTCCAAGCCCATCAAGAGAAAAACTGAGGGTTGGCTTGAAATCTTGCAAGGCTAATCCAGATGGGTAAACCGTGTTCGAATCCGGAATTGGAATCGGCGTGAAAGAACTCAACCCCCTTGAAGTAATTCCACTTCTCAACAACTGAAAAGCTGAAAGAGAAGATGTAGAAGTAGAAGAAGAAGAAGAAGGGTTATTATGGGTGTCGTTGTTGGTGGTCTGTAAGTTGGGTAATTCAGCAAATTCAGAGATGGCATGAAAATCTTGTGCAGCTGGGAAAGCCAGGTTGAGGTCTTGCCCTTTGTGGATCTTTGGGTTTGGCTGAGAAGATGCAGAACAGGTTGGCGGGGTCAGATCAGGCAGATTTTTCGATGAAGAGGAGGCTGATGAAGTTGAAGATCTCTTGTTCTTTCTCGAGCCTCCTCCCACAGGAACATTTCTGAGAGATCCACCTTCAGTCCAGTACCTTCTACATGTCTTGCAGAAGTATCTTGGTTGAGTGAGACTGTAGTTGTTGTAATAACAAAATTTGGTGTTTGTTGAGTTGCACCTTGGACAATTCAAGGCTTGCTCTTTCTGAGGCCTGGTTCTCCTCTCTAACATAGGCCTCGAACATGTATTAGAGATCACCTCCTCCATTGCTGCTGGCTTCACCAGTCCGATCTCCTGAAACCCAAATTACCCCCCAAAAAATATGATACAATAATAAGATACATAGATGCTGATCAAAACATAAGGATCATAACTCAAAGCTCTACATAAAGATGAAAGAAGAAAATATTAGCAACAAGGAGACAGAAGAACCACCTTGGTGCTTTAACTTTCAAGGTTACACCAGCAAAAGAAGGAGAAAGGAAAAAAAAAAGAAATACAAATAACAATAACAAATATTACCTTTTCCATTGCTTTTCACATAAGCGAAAAGGAAGGGGAAAAAAAAGTGCACTACTTTCAAGAAAAAATGAAAAAACTCAAGTGATAAGAACATAAAATCAAAAAAAAGTGGGGACTTGCACTAGATGTAAAATACCATCATCTTTTCTTTTATGTTTCCCTCTTTTTGGAACTCTTAACAAGAAATCCACACTAATTCTAAAATAAAAATCAATTCAAATCGATGCGAACTAGCGGTACAAAGCAAGATACCCATGAAAGAAATCCTACAAACTCCATCGAGATCGTGAAAAGAAAAGCAGATCTCTACCTGTGGCCATTGAGCAGTATCCATGGAAGAAGAAAGAGGATGAAGAAAGGTTCTCTCTGTGTCTTAAAAGAAAAATGACCTACTTTTGCTGCAAGAGGTGTTTAAATCAAGGAGTAATGTCTGATATGGTGTGATGTGGTGTGGTGGTTTTATGTGTTGGCTTACTATGCAAAATGAAATAAAGAGATGTGTTGTTTCCAGACACTTGCCATGATATTATTGTTTGTATTTTGATTTTGCTAGTGCTATATTATAATTATTTTCATGTGGGTATATTTGTCCGGCCAGTTAAATTATTCTAATTTGATATTTTAATAATAATATTTTTATTCTTTGTGGGTATATGTGAATTGTGATGGGTTTCTCTTTTCTGACCAAAGAATGGGAGTCAGAATTCTTCTCTTCTCATTCCTTTTTGGGTGTTTTTTCTTCTTTTGTTTATTATGGTCTGAACTACTGGGTTGATTTGGTAGATTGGAATTTGATAGAATACAAGTTAATTTCTAGGATATCCTAATGACCAAACTGTGTCTGTGCCCCGATCAGCACGGGATCCTTCAGGTGAGGAACAGTTGAGAATTCATATTGGCGTCAGTCTCAGTCGTCAGATGGGGTTCAACATGCTCTAACACAAGGTGGGTCACTATTAGATAGATTCCAAAGTGATAACCCAGAAGCGACCCTCCGAGGGACCACTTCATTAGTCTTCTATTCTATGTTTATTATTCGAGTGAGTGGGCTGTGGGGGGTGGTAGAAAGGAAAGGAGAAGGGGAAGAGGCATGTGGGCCCTGTGAACGATGTAAAGATGAAGACAAGAGACGACAAAAGAAACCATGATGGGCCCCAGTTTGTGCCAGTGGGAATAGAAGAGAAAATTAGGGTTTGTGATGGGGACGTGATGGGTTGAATTTATTGAAAACGCCAAATCACAGTGGCGATTGATCTCCCCCGTTTAAAGAGGGAGTGGCGGATTGGGATTCAACTCATTCAAGTGTTTAGTGTCTGAAGACTCTGAACTACTCTGAAAGAGAATAATAAAGACAGTGGCCCGTGGTGGGGCGTTAGCCTCCTCTGCTGGGCTGCTGCTTCAACTTCAAGCCCACTTTTTCATGGGTTTTATCAACAGTCCCAAACAATCTACGCCTCTACAAGGAATTTTTTTTTATCATGGCATAAATATAAAACTTATTATAAGTAAAATATAGAAAATGCACACACATATATAGATATATACTTTAGAATTTATGAAAATATAGACATTCTTTTATAGATCTCATTGTTAGGTGTTCTTGAGTTAATTTTCATAGATCTCTATTCATATGGTCATTCTTGCAAAGAAAGTTGATCTTGTAGCAGACAAGACTCAACTGAAACTGCTATACCTAAAGGCGACAAATGATTCAAATTAAGATTGAATGACAGTAGAGGAAGAGGAAGAAAAAGAATTTTAATTTCATAAAAGATCAAAGAGAAGTTTCATCCAAAAAAATTGTGGATCTTCCAGACTAAACAAAGGCTACCACCCCCAGTATTTTTAAATTACTCTTATTCTTTTGTTTTTTTCATTTTGTATTGAACTTCTATTTGTAACTATGTTTCGAGGGTTCGGTCTCATGCTCGCTCCTTTTAATTATTAATAAATTCTTTTTTTCTTTAAAGTTAAAACAAAAAATTAGAAGCTCCTTAGTCCTGATATTGATATTGGGGCTTATTCTAAGCATATCGTGATTCATAAGTCATAACTAAAAGTTAGTAGATAGATCCATTCACAGTCACCCTCGTTTTTATCAGGCTTGCAGAGGAATGAGATATGAGAATGCCGGTTCAGATCGTCGAGTATAGTGTATAGACGGGAACCCACTATATGAGTTGGTGGAAATAGAATTTACATCCCTTTTTGTTCCACTTTCTGTTTCTCTCGAAGAACCAAACTCAATTTGCAATTCAAAATTGTTTCGATAATTTGGGGTTACATTATTGGCCAGATAGTACTGACATTCTAGTTCTTTCAATATCAATTTCAAGGCTGCCACGTTTAAGTTTCTTGGATTATAAAAAGACAAAACAAAAACGAAGAGAAATGCCTAAAAAAGCGAGCTGTCGTTTAGTCACACTGAGTTCTATTTGCGTCCCTTGTTCAGATTTTTCCATTGCCTTGGGTCCCAGGCCAATATTTCATTAAGATTTCGACCCCCATCTTTGAGCCACTAGTCTGTGAGAAGTTTTGATGGAGGGATGTATTAATGAAACAGGATTTATATATATTTAATTAGTGGCTGATTATAACTTTTATGATATCGCCGGTTGATTGGTTATAACTTCTTCTCGTATACTAGTTAAACCCCATCCATATATAATTAAGATAGGATTTAGATGATAATGAAAAAGTTAAATATTCTCTTATTACAAGCAGAATATTAGTTTATACAATCCCCATTCCTTTTAGTTTTAACATTATCTATGATAAATTCTCAGACCTTTTCTTGATTATATCTATAATGTTGGAAAGATATATATGATGCCGGAAGAACTTTATTTGATTAATAAAAACCCTCAGTAAATTTTGATGAATATATTTCAGCTAATCTGTTAAACTTCTATAATATCAGTTGATTGGTTACCAGTTTATTTGAATATCATGCATTATTGGTGCCATACTGCCATAGTATAGTATAGTAGGAGTAGGAGATACTGAATAGAACAAAAATGATAGTAAAGAAGGATAGAAGCAGAGTTGGTGATGGGGGTGATGCTGCTGAATCTGGAGCCGAGGGCAAACGAGTAATTTCTAAGGTTTAAGGGTTGCAGGTCTTGCCTGCTAAGAGTGAAAAAAATGTCAAAGGCCCCAATAATGTTCCCATGGGTGAAGACTCTGGCGATCAAATTAGCCGAAAGTTTAAAGGAAACAAAAGTTACCACAAGATTATAAATGATTGGTTGAGTATGTGTGCATACCTCTAGCTGTAGTGTCCCTTTTATAATAGGAGTCGCCCAGGTGGAAACTGGGGAGTAATGCATAATGTATACCCATCCCGTATATCGTGGTCACATAGAAGACCTAGAAAGGTGTCAGTCGACCACGACCCCATGTCATTGGCTTAGGAGTAAATGCACCCAAAACATGTGCCCAAATTAAGTATTCCACAATTGCTAAGAGTGGGAATTACGTGAATGCCCTTAAGAAAATGTCATCAATCAAGAATACCCCTAGGCGATAATACGTGTCAGGGGGCATTGAATGACAGGCTCCAGGGCCAAGGTGTTTTCAATCCATAGTCTAAACCTCTCGATCTTGTACGTGAGGATGAACAATGGGAGATCATCACTAGTAATTAAGCTTGAAAGACTATAAGATAATTCTATTGGCCATCGACGGCCATAATATTTAGAGCCCATTTGGGAGGATTTCACTGTTTCAGCGTTAATTGAACTATTGAACCACTTCCAAAGAAACTATCAAAAATAACTTCACTAAAAGGGAAAGTGGATTTTACAGCATCTACTATGGGTTTTTCCAATTTTTCACCGAACACAACTTCATGGATTTGTGTGTGAGGCTGTAATGCCGGAAACTGCTGCATGGAATCCTTCCCAAACAGGCACTCGAATAATGGTTGTTGTGGTTGTAGCTAGGTAGATTATTAGTATATAGAGCAGATAACAGCTGAAGTTGCTGAACTGAACAATTTATTCTTTTGTCTTTTAGTATATAAAATATTCAAGGTTATAATATATATAATGAGTAATGACCTTACCCAAACCCCAACCTACCCACCTTCAGCTTCAGCCGTTGAGAATATTCACTAAAGAACAAAACAATAAAAATTCCCCGAATAAGCCAAGAGTCGGTCTTCTTCTTGTAAAGGAAATAAGTTCCATATGTATTCTTCATTTTCTTTGCCATGTGGCTTTCAACCTTTCCTTGAATAAAACTTGAAAGCAATGTGGTTTATATGGATGATGTTGACTGTTGGTAATGGACAAACGGCCAACTGAGAAAGACCCCCCATCTGACGTGCAGTTTGGGTATTGGCCATGAGATCCGTCCAAGTGAAAACAGGGGGTGAATTGTTTAATAAGCTTCCTAAATTTGTTCCATTTTTAAAATTTCTGAATAAATGATGATGGTGGTGATGATGACCGATGATAAAAAGAAAAAAAGAGAGCATATATAATGATGTTGTCTAAAAATCTAAATAGAGGTTGAACTGCTTGTTGCTTTGTCTCTTGACTACGTGGATTAATTGAACACTTGTTTTGTCAACAAAGCGATGAAGATGTTTCCAAACATATTGAACCAGTTTTTTTTTTTTAGGATCATTACTTTCGGCTTCCCCTGCAGTTTATGCCTTGATGTTTGATATATGATGCCTGACAGCTTTTCAGTACAAGCTATTTATCGGACCAAATGGAGGTACAAATTGCTCTATGAAGAGCCACTTTCAATGTTTTCTTTTCCTCTCTCTAACCGAATAATACAAGAACTTTTGTTGTAACAAAGTAATTTAAAGATCAAAAGGAGTCCCCAGTCCCCACTTTGTATTACATAAAAGTTTCAAATTACCTAGACTTAATTCCATTATATTACTGAATTGAATTTTATAAATCCATTGGACGAATATTACATCAAGGTTTTAATAGATTAAAGGCATGTTGGATTTTAATCTCACAAGAGATTTAATTCAATGGGTTTGATTGGTCAATTACATGAGAAATTGCACCTGCACACTTGATTGAAAAATTAGCTTTTCTCTTACAAAACTCAATTTTGAACTTGTCCCACATTGAAAAATTATAAGTTTTGTTTTTCAGTAATTTAATAGGAGTTGATTTACACTCCTTAGAAATAGTAGAGGAGAGTATGGGGGTTTGATACCGTGCAATGTGCGTGCACACGTGTGCATGGTGCAATGAGGCGCACTTTGCTCGCAAATCAATTTAGAAGAAATGAAACATATGAAGAATCATCCATATAATTTGATATTAGATTTAT